GCCCAACAAACGAAGATGCAAAGAAGAATCAACGATGGACTAAAGTGCCGTTAGTGTCCAATACCACCGTGGCTTCCGATTGGCAAGTGGAATTCTTGGAAGAGACGGATGGCTCCACTAATACTTTTACATTGGTTGATCCTGTCACCAGCCCGGATGTCTTGCTGCTCCGTGACAACAGTCAGGCCATGGAACTCGCCACCTCTCGGTCTGGTCTTCTTTCGGTTCGCTACCAGCCTATCGTCGTGTTTTGCAATCCAGAAAACAACATTCACGAAAATGGTCATGAGTCAGTTTCTCTATCTCTCTCAGACTTTCGGTTCCGTGTTTCATTCATCACGGTACCAGTCGTGCCGTGAGGGAGTTAGTGTGCAACCGTTGAGCAGTAATGGAGGGTCGACCAATCCACATCAGGAAAAGAAGAAGAAGCGTCCATGACCGACATCCGTGTGACGCTTCCACTAACGGCGGATCGCGTCGAGATTCGTTGGATTGATGTCGGCACTGCTTCTGGGGGTGAACAGCAGCAAAAGGATGCTTCGTCGTCGGAAGAAGGGACGGCAGAAGTCGCGGAGGAGGTCCCTCAGGTGACTGCTATCCACGAGGTTATGCACTCGGTGGGAGAAGGCACAGTCAGGAGCTCGCACATCTTGGAGTATTCGTCCACCAGCGAGCTGTCGGCGTCGCCTGTGCTCTTTGCCTTGCATGGGCCCAATGTGCGCAATCTTTCATCTCCCATGACGCGAATTGTCATTTTCATGTCGAAAACTGCCATGTTATTATCGTCCGTGGTGCTCGTGGCAGCGGTAGCATTGTAGTTTCCAATGGCGGCGTACTCGAGGACCTGAAAGTTTGTGGGAAAGATTTCTTGCTGGTGTTGCTGTTTGAGTTGTTCCAACTTGCTCAGATGTTCATCATGATTTCTTTGTTTCTGGTCTTGCAGTTTTCGGTAAACATCCTTGAGTTTGGCAGTGGAGTAGAGATCTTCAAACTCGTCCAATGTCAACGTCACTTGAGCCCTTTGATCGGCGTTTGCAACGAAAGGGGACCAGCCGCCAAGACTCCAAAGAAGAAGGAAAGACGTCAACTTCATCTTTGTTTTGTGTGTGTTTGATTGGTACCTGTAGTTGCTCTTTTTGATGTTTTGCTTTGTTGGTTTTGTGTATGGTACTCCTCATGAATGCTTCGATAAGGGTTGTGAGCTCAACTGATGGATTGATCTTGTGGTGTCGGCCTTCGCGATCAGTCGTAATATCCACGATTGGCAAAACTCCACGACACAATTTCAAGCCATAACTCTAATTTATGCATAACGCTAACTTATCCATAACTCTATCACGTATCTCACGTCATTCCGTGGCGTGACACGATGCGGTTTTCTCCTTGCCACCTCAGCTCGAAAGAAGCAATCTGATTGGACGACGGGGTTCTGGCTTGAGAAAAATGAAACCAGAATTGGGGAACAATTGCCTCCACTCGACCAAGCTAGATAAAGCAAAGGCAAAGAGGGGTGTTGTGATGGTGTTCTCACTTCCTGAAGAGTAAGCAGCAGACAACGCCTTTCTACTTTTGGTGCGTGGAGAAAAAGAAAAGCATTCTGATTATTGAGACCATGACGAAGCCGTCGTCCAAGAGCTCTGCCGTTGCTGCCTTAGTGCTCCTGGCAACGGTAGCTCGGCCCCAGTACAGCAGCGCTTTGGTTCCGGCCACGGGAAGAGTGCGATCAAATGTGGCTACCATCAGAACCGGCAGGTTGTGGAGTGCCAACAGTGAATACCCCGACTACTATGATGTGTTATCGAGTAGAACCACCCATGCCTCCATGACATCCTTGGAGACCATGGACGAAGTGGTTCCCTTTGGCTTGGAGGAAGACTTTCACTACCACAACAACGTCAACAACAGAGAAGAAGAGGACGAGTCCTTTGACCTCCAAGCCCAACAAGAAGAAGATCAACGAAACCGTTGGAAGATTCAACTGACCAACAGTGTCTTGCAGATACTTCATAACAGCTTCAAGAACGTCGAAGCAACGGCCAATGAATTGCTGGACGAGGATCCCGTGACTGCGTTTGCAGTTTTCGTCGGAGCAGGTCTAGTAGCAGCCTATGTCCTTGGGTTGTTCATTCTGGACGGCTGTATGGAGAGCTGGAATCCAGTTCAGAATGGAATGGTCCCCTATTGGGACGAGGAAGTGCTCGTCATGATCAAGAAAGTTCATTAGGTTATCCATCTTCAGAAGGTGCTTTCATGTGGGAGACGAACATAACAGGAAGAAGCCAAGATAACAAGACAAAAACAACAACCCACATTATATCAATTAGAATGGCAAATGATCAAAAGAACAGTCAGAGATAACCATCAACCGTGACAGGCGAACACAAGGCTGGATCATTTGTACAGAACAGAACCACAGTTTTGATCAACTGCATGTTTTGATGCATTATGAAACAATTAAAGATGTGAAACCTTCAGAGGGAAGGAGTGCATCTTTCCTGTAAACTTGGAGGTTGTAGCATTCAGAGGACCTACACACCTTACTTTGTAATTTATATGAAATCTAATTACTTTGCTTGACAAGCCAAAGAGAGAGTACCCTTGCGCCTTATGAAAGGAGTGATTCATAGGTGTGCTCCTTTGCACCACCCCACATGGGCTTCTTGTCAAAAGCTGTCCAAGTGCTGTTCCTGCGCATCGGACTCATCTCTGGCCCACAAGCTTGAGCCGGGCATCTGTCCTGGAGTTGGTCCTGGAGTTCTGGGGCCATGTGTTATTCCAGAAGATGGTCCAGTTGCATGTCTAGCTAGGAGCGGGTCCATGTAGGTGGTCCAGAGGCTGGGCCTTGCATATGAGACGGTACCGGTATGTCACGGAGATCAGTCTCGTGTAGGTCCAGCAGTAGGAGTAGGCTAATGGTTGGTCCAGGAGTTGGGATGGTAGCCACTTGTACAAGAGTCAGCACTGCTGTACTGGCCCAGAAGGTCCAGTTGTTGTTCCCGGCCTAGCTGGGCAGATAGCATGCCTGCCTGCCTGTTTGGCTAGAGACTGGGGTGGCCATTCTCTCAGAGGTTCCTTTATTGGGGAGCCACTTATGTGCTGTTCATCAGCCATCAAACAACGAACAATTTCCCATGCCTCGGCAAGTATTCATCTGGAACGAGTGGAGTAAACATACATGGAAATATGTCATCAGCTCGGTGTACAACTGCTTCGTGGCAATTTTTAAAAAGAGAAGCCAGAAGCGCTGCCATGAAACCGGAAAAGCTTCAGGTTTTCTCCACGGTTAAGTCTTGGTAAAAGTTGGAGGGATTGTACCTTGGAACAGGGTTCAAAGCATTAGTGAAACTACCCCATTTCCGTGATACTAACAGCAGTTCACGCAAAGAGTCCTCGTTCGTGACCTTGCTAGCCAGATGGCGACAGCCAGGTCTGTCTTTCACAGCCACTTGCTCACTGCTAGCTAGCTTTGGGGGATACAGTTGGGCAATGGTTTCAGGGGCCACGGTATTCGAGAAACAGGCATAGGCAATGGTGAATGGAGATGCTGAGCACCAGCCAAGGATGAGCTGGATCCCGAAACTGCCGGCAGAAACAGCCAAGATTGGTGCAGCCATGTACCAGCAATACCGTACTACCTGCACTCTTGCTGGATCAGCCTACATTTAGCTCTGCGTACATTGGATTGCAATCAGTATGCAACGAAAGAAGATAGACCGTGTGTCGTGGTGATGGCTGTTCATCTTGGGGTCGAAGGTTGGTTGCTAGCTACGGTAAGATCCTAGTAGATGAATTCCGAACTAGCTAGTACCGCCTGCCGAAAACGATGGCTGGCTGGTACAACAAGGGACTCCTTGCTCCTCCAGAGTACCGGTACTCCGAGTAGCTGCCGAAGAACGTATCTAGCTACAGTCGCCTAGACGTGAGGGGGCCGCCATTCGCCGTCCAACATCCGCCGTTTGCGGTTCCGGTACCTGTAAAATAGACTCTAATGGTACCATATTGTGCTGAGGGCTCTGCAAATCTTTTGGGAATTTGGGAATTGGCCAGTGGGAAGATGACCGAAACAGCTGCACTTCCTGTGGTCTGCTCCATTTTCTTTGAGCGAGCACTTGACCACTGAAACCTGGTTCTTACTCTGACTACTGCTTGATTTTTGTCTTGTTCTCGGGAGCGACCACATTCAGCTCGTAGTCTACTAGCTACATTTAGTAGCTGGAGCTATCACGCGACTAAGGAGCTAGCTAGAGCTATCACACGACTAAGTAGCCAGCTACTCGGCTCTACTAGCTAGGCAGGCGGTGCTGCGTAACGATGGATGGGCGGCCAAGAAATGGACTGCTGGAGGCCAAGTGGCGCTACGGTGTTCCAAGCTAGCTAGCCAGACTCGACTCGATTGTGTAAATAGCTTTTGATTGAATGACTAAAAGTTACGCACATGGACGGATGGATGTTGTGTTGTTTCTAATGCAAAAAATTTTTGTGTTGAAATGAGTATAGCACGGGGATACCTGATCATTTCTGTGTTGTGGTTTCCTTGGCGTCTTCCTGCGGGCCCGAGCAGCACCGCCCTAGTCGGCTGGCAGGCTGACTGCCTTGCCTTGTGTTGTCTTCTTGTCTAGAAGTCTACAATACAGAGTGACGCATGGAACCTCCATTTTTCTTGCCGCCACCTTCCAGCTTGCGCTTCATGTCATCAAAGGCACCCTGCAGCATTGTGGTGGACATGAATTGGAAAGTGGCACCCCAGGCATCTCTGTGCCTTCGAGTAAATGTCTCGGGCCCGAGCTTGTCTGCCAGAGTATCAATCAAGCATGCTCCCATCAGAGGGTAATGGCGTGGAACGACTCCGACTCTGGAATGCATGATACCAATGTCGGTCAGTTGCTCTTCCACCAGTTCCATGTCAGGTCCCAACATATCAATGGCCATGTCAAGCATTTCGGTGAAGCGCCTGGCAAACTTCAAGAATTCAGGATTCTTGAACATATCTTCATCGTTCTTGTTACCCCTGCCCCATGGAAACACAGTCCAAGCATCAGGGGCTACTTCAAACATTCTGAAAGAAAAATAGCAGAGAGAGGCATTGTCAGTGTTCCATTTCAGTGATCTGGTCAAGCACAAATGGCTACGGTAGCTAGACTGCCTTACCTGCGAAAGAGAGCGACTCCAAACTCTTCGCGGTAGTTGGGGAGCGCCTTGACTCGAGCCCAAGTATCATTGACGTTGGTGACAACGTCAAAGTAGGATTCTGCGATGAAATGGTGCATATTGACTGGTGGTGTTTGACTTCTAAAGAATGTATGTGGGGCTTGAAAGTGCTTTTGAGTTTGAGCTCTTGAAAATTGTGAGGATTTGGATGAAGAAAAAGTAAAAGTGGTTTCTCAGGTTGAGATAGTATCCCAAGGAAAGACCGGATGGCTCCTGACGATTGCTTCTCGTCAAGAACTGGGAGGCAACCACGCAATCTCCACCTCTCCCTGGACCTTTGTCTTATCATAAGCGACCATCACTTTTCTTCCCAAGACAAGAAGATGGCGTTGTGGTGATGTGGCGGGAATAGTGGCGGCACTATCACAAGCATGGAAAATGTGAGTGACATGCGTTGTTGTTTGAAAGGAAACGACCCTTAACACATTTCAATCGCACTAAATCCTCAACGGTCATTCGTTGATGACTCCTTATTTGTATTGATTTAAGTATTGCTTTTCGATGACATAATGACTTTCTGATTTCAACTGGCACAATGCCTCTTCACTAATGGCAACGAAATCTTGGGAAGAAGTGCTTTCTGCCATCAAGACAAATCTGTGCGGCAACGTCATAGAAAGTCTTCGGAACTTTAAGGCGACGCATTTCCTTAGGGTTCTCTATCAATGTCTCAAGATTTAAGAGGATTCCGATTCAGAATTGAATTAAATGTCCTGATTCACTCCTGCTTCAATAATGACTGTCCTTTTCTCTGCCCATGAAAATGACTTTCTAAAAATGTACATTAACTTGCACAGTGCTGTACTAAAGCATTACCTGTACTAGTACTCGTAATGCTTACCAAAGGCTGTTCAGGTTCATCCGATTCTTTCACACACAGGGCTGGTGGACCGGTGGATCTGTCAGCACCTGTCCCAGCTTGTCCATCCATTTAACTTCAATTGCTCAATCATCACATCAACGCATCAACACCTCATCGACCACATCTACACACACATCAGCAGAGTGGGTCAAGAATCCACATCCTATTGCTATTGCCTTTGGGCTTTGGGCCCACTCCTTTTAGAGTGTCGCCAGAACTGGCATGCACTGAAACACAGAACATTAAATCAGGGGTGAGTGAAGACTGCACGTTCGCTTTGTTTCAATCTAGATCTATCTCCGTCTTTCGTTCGTCAGCAGCCAGCTACTTGAGCTTCTGATCTTATCGTTCTATTAGACTTGTGGATCGTTCTTACGTACTACCATGTCCACGTATAGTTCATAATGGTCGTCAAATCAGGCTGTTTGTGCAGCGACATCGTTGGTGGAGGACAACTTACTTGACTCGGTGGCTGAGGTTCTCCCTCTCGGTCCGCCAGCCCAGTATCTGATCCTACCGGTAGCTGTCCTAGCTGGCAGCTAGCAGCTACTCCGCGGAGGAGTAGACTTCATCCATGCATGTATGCATATGTATCTTAGGTCGTGGTCAAGGGTCTTGCTTGGGGCTTGGGGGCGATTGAAACCAGAAGTCGCTTCTGCCTGCTGCCCACTTCGCGATGCTACAAACTTTTTATGTCAGCTGCTTGGCTGCGTCCTCAAACTAGTCAAACAGTTACGGGTCCAGTGATTTCATGACATGTAGTCTAGGTCTACTATCACCAACGTAGCCCCACCCAGCAAACCGAAACCTACGATCTCTCATTGTGAAGAGCCATGCAAGTCTCAAGTACGGTAGCTATGTCCCTCCTGTGCAGGTAGAGTTAGTTGTAAAAAGCCCTTTTCAATTGGGTTGGATTAGTGCGTGGAAGCTGTGTGGCAATTCCTTGGTGGCGATACTCTGTGAAAGAACCCCACTTCTCTGTTGTAGTGACTGGTAGTGAAAATTCCCACTACTCCACACGACCATTCCCGTCTCCTCTGAAATTTTTTATTTGGAGAATGCATGTTCCTACCCATCCTCCCTCACACCCCCTCCTGTCCAACTTTTTTTGCTTCCTCCTGCTATCCTTTGGCAACCATCGCCACCTGGTTTCAGATTCGTTGGCCTTCTTCCGACCAAGGAAGCAACCTTCATTTCTGATGCTCAAGGGCCAAAAAGCACTTGGTTGGTATTGTTTGACGACGATTGAACCAGATGCCCTACAACACCACACGCGCAGCAACCCGTTTGTGCAGTCATCATGACAACAGGACAAGAAGCAGATTGGCACAACTGAGTCTTTCGCTTTGCATGTATTGTTACTTCTTCATCGACATGTTACTTCTTCATCGAGCACGGGAACTTTTCTGGTTCTTTCCCCGAAATAGGCACCATCTCCAAGAGGAACTTTCCACACAGCGATAGTGGACTCTTCTGTGAAGAAGGTGCCTTGCATCTTCCCGAACACAGGAGATGAATCTTTCAGCAACTTGTCTGCTGTGTGTTTCCTCTGCCTGCTTAGGGGCTACATACCTGTAGCAGTGCGGTATAATACATGTAGTAGTCTACTACTAGCTAGCTAGTCTATTATAGGTAGTCGTCGATCTTGCTAAAATCCTTCAAGATCGATTGAAGCAAACCTCGTACCGGTACCAGTCGCAATGACTCTGGATCACTTTACTTGCTTCCTGATCCCAACAATGGTACATGCACTTGAAGTTGATTTTGGTGCTCAGTTAAAACAGAGTCCTCTGCTCCTGTTTCCAGTTGTTCATATTGTAACTGGTTGGGGTTGCCACCCTAAGCAATGGTTTCGCCGATAAACGCAGTCTTTGTTTCTGCGCTACCGGTATGGGCAAATCATGCTGTGCCTTTCTGCTCAAGGCACAACCACGAACGTACATATTATATCTCTACAAAGGTCATCCAGAGGACTTGGATGCATTGTCTTTGCCTAACAACCAATCCCGACGCAAACAACACGACTACATGTGTTTTTTTTAAGAGTTGTTGCCCGTCGAAACAGCTTTTCTTCAAAGCCTGATCTGACCGGAGACCCACCAAGAACAACATCAAATGTTGAACATCAAATGTTGGTGGAATGCCTCAGAGGAAAGCACCACGAGTTGAATTTTACTGTTTATTTTTCCAATGACGAGCGACCTGTGTCGGTCAGTTATGTTGTGTTTGTATCCATTTCATTTCATGTCATTTTCATGTCGTGTAGTATTTTCCTTCTTCCAGCCTCCTTTTATTTGTACTCTTCATTTATTTACTCTGCTCGTTTGAAATTGACAATTCTGGCGAATCCTTCTCCCTCCAAGGATGCTCCACCGACCAGACATCCATCGATATCGGGCATGGCCATGATATCATCGACATTATCGGGCTTGACACTTCCCCCATATTGGATTCGTGTGGCTTGTGCGACTTCTTCGTCGAATAGGTTAGTGAGTACCTCTCGGCAGTAGGCATGAATCTCATTGGCATCTTCTGCTCCACAGACCAATCCGGTTCCAATGGCCCATACTGGTTCGTAGGCAATGACGACATCTTTCATTTGTTCTTTGGTGATTCCGTACAGATCCTTGGACAGTTGTGTGGCGCAAACTTCCTTTTTGATGCCAATTTCGAATTCTTCTTGAGTTTCACCAATGCACAGAATGGGTTTCATGCCAGAATCCAAGGTTTTCTTGACCTACAGCAAATAAAATAGCAGGTAGATGCAACGAGACAAACAAGGATGTGAGAAATAAAAAACCCATCACTGCCACTGCATCTACCCATTCATCCATCCATCACTCTCCATCCATTCTTTTTTCCAATTGACACTTCTCTCATTTGCTGAAATGCTGCAACAAATAAATAAAAATTGATTGCCATTTTGCTTGCTTACCTTCAGGTTAATGTTGGAATCAGAATCGGCAAAGAGAGTTCTTCGTTCAGAGTGTCCACAGAGGACATATTCGCATCCTGTGGATTTGACCATACTGGCACTGACGGATCCGGTAAAGGCTCCCTTGTCTTCGTAAAAAAAGTTTTGTGCGCCCACGACAAGTCCGGCACCTGCCACGGCATCCTTGACCTTGCTAATGAATGGAAAGGGTGGAAAGACGACCACTTCGGTGCAGGTACTTTCATCGACACTATCCCCGCCCGTAGCACACGTCTCTGCACCCAGTCTCTCGGCCACTTCGGAAGCCAAAGAGAGAGCTTCTTCTTCCGTTTCCGGATTCATCTTCCAATTCCCGGCCATGATGGGTTGTCGGAATGCCGACAGTTGCGTGACTGTTGTCGTGGTGGTGGGAGTCTGAGGAAGCACAAAAGAGCTAGCAGCTCCTGCAAGGAGAGACGAGATGCAAACAGAGAACTTCATGGTGGATTAAATACTGTGGTGTGGCTAGCTAGCTAATGAATGAGTGGAGGATTGGTTGGTTGGGCTTATGATGAAACTAACTGTGCAAGTACAGCAGCTGTACATGTATGTATGTATGAAATTGATAGATTATCGGAGGATCGATTTGCTTCGGGTAGCAGTTGAAAGATACGCACTCGTCAGTGAGGATGCGCAGCTTTGGTTGGGTGGCCGTTGGCACTTTGCAGCTGCAATATAATATTATTGACGCAGTGACGGACAGACCAAGCAAAAGATCCGAAAGCAGGGGGACCTTCCAATCGACACAAGATTTCAAAGATTCCATTCACTGACGTCATCGACCTGTATCCTTTGCGTTTTGAAAGAGGCTCTTTGGCTTCTCATTCATCGGCAGCACCGTTACGCAAACTGAGTTACTTAGGATTTAATGCAAGGCTTTACAGGTTGGCTTCGAAAGACTCGTCACTCATTTTTTACTGTATCTCTTTTCTGGTTTCACATCAAAGAGTACATGGGGGCAGAAAGCTCTAAATCCTAGGTCAGTCAGAATAGACCAATGAGAACCCTATCCGGTACAGCCTACGTTGCAGCATTTATGTCCCTTTGCTTTTGTTGAACACGTGTGCGTTGTTCGGGAGAATAATCGTCACTACAAGCAAGCTGCATCCTTCTCTCGGTCGGAAAACAAGGATACGGATTGCTCCAATCGGATAAAAGCAAGGAAGAAGCTTGGTCGTCGACATCATCGCACCAAAGGAAGCTTGGTCGTCGGTACTATCCTCACAACATTTCCCAAAAACAAAAGAGGCGAGACGAAACAATCGCCTCGTTTAATTTTAAGCTAGCCACTGCAAGATGACCCGTATTTCACTCCTTTTCACGATCTTGTTGGTGGTAGGTTATGCATCTGCCTTTCAACCAATCAGCAGACTGACTCCTCTGGCATCATCATCATCGTCAACTCGTCTATTGGCGGCCGAATTGGTGGACCATGCAGTCGTCGAAGAATCCGCTTCGTTTCTGTCCAACATTCCCATTCTCGATGCGGTCCTCCATGAACCCGTCGTTTGGTCGTCCCTGTGCATGCTCTCCATTGTCAGTCTCCTACTGACATGGGAAGAGTCTGTGAAAAACATTCGCAAGGGACTGCCGGAACCACTCATGCCGGTACTGGATTCCATGTTGGCCGAAGTGGGAGGACTCGGTTTTATCGGACTCTTTTTAAGTACATTTGTCACGGGAGGACTCCTCGGAGGAATGGTGGAAAATCTCAGTGAATCCTTTTTGGGAAATGAAGAAATTCTGCTAGAGACATTTGAGTTTTTGCACACGGCATTTTTTCAAATTGGAGTGGGATTCTTTGTCGTGGCTGGATTGACAGTCGCCGATGTTCTATGGGAAATCAACAAACTCAGTGACATTACCAATCTTTCCACGCTCGATACAGACGGCGATGGAGAAGTCTCACTCAGTGAATTGGCCGATGCACTCGGCTGTGGTGCCGTTGTTTTGGACGAAAATGGCGATGGACAACTCGATGAGGATGAATGTACCAATGCACTGCGCCAATTCCCAACCCCCAATGTCTGGGAACGCCTCTGGGGCAGCACACAGCAAGATGTCAGTGCCGAAGCATTGGTCATTCGAGAACAAATGATTCGAAAGTTCGATCTACCAGCCGATTTTGAAGTCGAAACCTACATTGGAAAAGTCTTTGGACACAATTTGGATGAAATTGTGGAACTGTCACCCGTCACGTGGTTGCCACTCATTCCACTCTTTGCACTCGCCAACTCGATTGATCTCAGTCATGATGTCGTCTCGGCGGCATCCAGCAATGGATTTGTCACGGCGGGTGAATTCATTACCAATCCATGGGTCGTGTACTCCCGCATTGTCCTGCAAATCATGACGTTGGTATGGAGTCTATTCAACTATTGGAAATTAACCAGTATCAAAAACATGCTCGTGGCAACATTGGTACGAGCGGGAGGACCCACGGGGCCTGCTATACTGTTGCGACCACGATTCTACGACGATGAACTGCGGGCACAATTCAATTCCAGTCCGGGGTGGGCGGCACCCATTGAACGGGCATTGACGAAAGGACGACCGGCCCGCAATATACAAGAAGAACTATTTGGTGCCGCGGGGGCGGATGGACCCGCCCTCTATCGCAACTCCATCAAGTTTCATACGTGGTTGTGTGTGGCGCAGATTGTATTCATGACCTCGGAGATTGTCTTGCGGGATGTCAATGCACTCTTGGCGGAATCCACCGTCATGGCACATCCCGAAGCGGTCTTTCCCGAAGAAATTTTCTTTGGATTCTTTGTCGCTGTCTCTATTGGACAATTGGCATTGGCGCCACGCACATTTCTCTCCTACAGTGCTTGCACATCCATTGAACTCATGACCAAGGAATGGGCATTGAAGGCTGCACTCGAAGAATCGAAAATTGAAGAGTGGAAAGAAGAGCAAGGAGACGATGATGAAGCTTTTGGATTGGTAGGATACCGCAAGAGTTTGCAAGAAGGAGTGACCAATCTAGCGACATACGATGGGCCAATCTTGATGCCGCCCGCCAACAATGATGGGTCATCCGCCGCTAATGGAAATCCTGCCGCAACAGAAAAGGAGACCACCAACGCACAGCTGTAGAGCAAACAGAGCGTAGTGGAGTGCCGCCAAACAACTACAGGCTAGACTACAAGAGAGCAGAGTAGGATAGGAAAGAATGGCCGGGTCTCTCTGTAAGAGCTAATACATGCATTCTCAAGACCCAATACAGTGTATTCGTTGCGTTTCGTTCTTTGAGGTTGGATCATGTATGACACCCATGCTTTGGTCTGTAATGTAAATTGAGCCACCAGTTTTCTTAAAAGTGGGGTGGCATAAATGATTGTTTTCAAAGCAAATGCATGGGAGCAAACATCTTTGGTTTGGGCACTATCTGGATAATCTGGACTCAACTCAAGCAAGTCTCCCCAGTATTCCAAGGGTGATCCAGGGTTGTTGCTCGGTGCGACTATTTTTATTTTAGAAGCAAGCTCGTTTTGGAGCTGGCAACATGTCATTTTGAGCAGTGTTCCGCCTTTTAGTAATGGTACATGTACATTTAGATTTTTGAATTGGACGGAGTAAACAATACATTGGTTCATCCTGCAAATACTAGAAACAATTGTACACATACGAACTCCTTGACATTTGGGAGATCTCCATTATATTACAGTATCCCGACCGATAATGCTGCGACAGATCCAATGAATAGCTGCAATGCCAAGGAGAGCATTTTCCTGGCGCTCGAGTAGGCTAAAGAATCGGGCGAAGCATTGCCTTTCAACTTTGGAACAGTAGTAGTATCAGTAGCGGATTTGGTAGTACTTTCAGGCTCTGATGATGAGCGATCGCCTGAATCTTGAGCAACAGCGCCTCCCGAGGTGATTATTGCTTCGTCAATGCCCAACTGCACAATATCCACCAAAGCAATATTTTCAAAGAGCCCTTGTTGTGTTTGCAACCTCCGCAGCCGTTCACCGAGGAACTCCAAAAGGTTATCCACGGACGGTGCAGCGGGCATTTCTGGCTGCAGCCCTGCAGCGCACGTGCAATCCGAAGAGTTGGTATCTGTCAAAAAGGGAGGTGGCCCATTTTGCATTGGAGCATCTTCTGGCATTCCATCCGCAGGAGGCCCGTCCCCGGGGGGACCACCCGCTGGTGGGCCTTGTTCCTCTTCTTCTTCTTCTTCTTCGGTTGTTGATCCCGCACCAGGTGGCATGGGTGGCAATGGTGGGAACTGCAATTGGCGGAGATGATGATGCTTGGCAGCAACTTCATGTTCCTCGAGAACTCGAAAGCGAATACGAAAAGAATCATCAAAAAGAGCAAAAGTCCCCACATCCGACCGAGGGCAACCCCTGCAACTTCCAGACACCTCAAAGATGACTTCCATTCCTTCCGTGCTCGTTTCGTTGACCGCACTCGTATCCGTAGTTGTTGTTGTCGTCTCTGTTAATTGTCGTCTCCCAAAAGGGCCCGGGGGTAGACCTGGCGGACCTCCACCTCCACCTCCTGGTGGCCCTGGTGGAGGCCCATCAGGCAGCCCATCAGGCAGTGGCAGGCAATCCAGTGGCGGTCTATCAGGAGGTGGTCCATCCGGAAGTCCAGTAGGAAGTCCATCCGGTAGCCCGTCAGGAAGCCCATCCGGTAGCCCATCAGGAAGTCCATCAGGAAGTCCATCAGGAAGCCCACCAGGAGGCGGGCAATCTGGAAGCGGTCCATCATCCGGTAGAGGGCCATCGGGAAGTGGCCCATCCGGCAAAGGGCCATCAGGAAGTGGCCCATCAGAAAGTGGTCCATCGCGAGGTAAGGATGAATCGTTTTGAGCCGATGGAGGACCACCCATGGGCGGGCCTTCTCCACCGTCCAGCGCTTCCAACAGATCTTCATCCAAATAAGTCACCGTCTCATTCAGAAAGTTGGACATGCTGAGAAAGTCGAGACGCTCCAATCGTCGAAAATAACTGTCGCATAAATCTTCCGTGATTTTGTTGTAGATTTCCACAAAGACATTTGCCAACACTGTACGTTCCCTGCTCCCCAAGAAATCATTGCGACCTTCAAAGACGAATTGGGCTTGTGACTTGGTAACGGTTTGATTGGCGTCGCACTCGAATTGGGTAACATTATTATCAATATCCAGACTGCTGCTATTGGAGGCCTGTAGCGTTCCCACACTTATCAACAGCAGGAGTACCGCCAAGGCGGAAGGGCTCTTGAATGCTGGTACCTTTATCGTCATCTTTTACTTCTTTGGGTCCTTCAAAAAAATTGTGAAGAGTTTGTTGTGACCGAAGCGGGCACTATGATAACTGGCGGGGCTTTTTTGTGATGATGGTTTGTGTTGCATGTTGTGAAGTCATTGGTCCTGGCTACCGGTACATGTATCACAGGCCGTAGATGACTATTTTAAAATAGCGTACATTGAAAAAAAACTCTTATCGGGTAGAAAAGCAGTCATAATCATGCTTTTTGGCCAAATAAGCCAAATTTTTACAATACTTCGCCAAACCTTCAAGTCGTTGTTGGGTGATTATTCACTACTGTAGCGGCTGTAGCGAGCTACCAGTCTACTGGCTAGTACCAATACCGGTAGCTAGTGTGCCTTTAGAAAGCTAAGCTCAATCAGTCATTGCAACCATGGCCGCTTCGTCGTTGGTGGCTGTCAATTCCGTCTCCTGAGACGGCGCTCCTTTTGGTTACCCCCTCAGTTGCACTCTGAAATCGATTGGCTCGCGTTTACTGTGTAAATTAGTGTACTCGCACTTCAGTTGCAGAATCAACGGTCATGTGTATCATTAAGTAACAGATTCTCTTTCGAAAGATTTAGATCGATTCGTGGATAAAAAGAACCGTTGAAGTTACTAAGGTTAAAGCTAAACAGTACCGGTACCCATCCTCGCACCTCTGCGTGCTGCCGTTCACTTGCTTTGTGGCAAGTCCATTATTGAAGGTGCAGCACTAACTTCTCTCCCTCATTGTATTCCTATAGTAAACAGGAGGTAAATCCAAGCTTGACCGACAACAGTGGCTGGTAGCTACCGGCAGGAGGGGTTCTTTATTTAATCGATCGATCGATCGATCGATCGATCGAACGACACGAGGTAAGCCTATTATCAAAGAGTGTTATTGAAGATGCAGCGCTGACTTCTCTCCCTCATTGGATTTCTTTGGTAAACAGGAGAGAATTCCAAGCTCGGCCGTCAACAGTTGAGTTGTTTTAATTGTTCGAATCGGTCGCACCTCTATTATCTCTGTTATCCAAGCCTCACTCAAGCCGTCCTTCTCCGGTGTAGATTGGAAAGCCATCCCTCATTGAATCATATGGACCGCGGGATGGCAGTCAGTTCTCGGCCCATGACGGCCAAGTTGGTGTAATTTGAAAAGCAAGGGTAAGTCTCCGGTCGTCCACAGTATCAGAATAGAAGAGAAAACCATATCTATATCTTACTTTCTGTTCTCTTACTGCTGACGGCCGAGGAACTACCATTGTCGACGATAGATCGCTCCGGATAACAAGAGGAGAGGCTACCGCTACGGAGGAGGAGGCTCTCTGTTAACTCCAGCCCTACCAACAGCCTGAACAGAGGAGCCTATCGTCGTCGAGTCATTGAA